GCGACGATGAGCCGACTCCGCATCCAGCGTCGAACCTGCTGCCTGATCCACCTGAGGAGGAGATCACCGTCGGCGTCGTGGCGGATGTCCAGTTCGAAGGCGGCATGCTGCGAACGGAACCGCAAGCGCCACGCCGCCGACATCCGCCCAGAGCCGCTGAAGACCTCCAAGAAGACGCCCGCCTTGGAGCGCTTCACCCACGATGCCAGCTCGCCGACAGGGTGGCGCCAATCCCGCGGAACGCCTGCTCGGCACGGAGCAGCAGGGCGCGCGGCAGCCGGTGAAGCTGCTCCTGCACCCGACCGCCCTTGGCGTAGCGCCGGAGAGCGGCGACGGTCGCCCACCTGCCGCGCTTCTGGATGTCGCGCAGAGGCCGCGCCGCCGCGTACAGCTCGTGGCTCGCGCCGCCGTGCCGCAGCTGGTGCAGCGTCAAGTTGCCCAAGACCTGCAGGCCGAGCTCGGCAACGACGGCCTTGAAGTGGTAGTTCCACTGCGCGTAGGTCACGGGAAACAGGCGGTGGCCCGCGGGCGTGCGGCGGTGCAGCTCCTGCACGAGGCTCGGCATCCACGGGAAGCAGCTTGAGTCCACCAGCAGGCTCTCGTCGAACGCGCCTGTCTTGGACGGGGTCTGCCTCTCGAACAGGTGGAGGACCACGCGCCAGTGGTGCATCGCCGTGGCCGTGGTAAACCCTGGCGGGATGAGCTGCGACTGCACGAGATCGAGCGCCTCGCGCGGCCTCAGGTAGAGGCCGAACGTGAGCGCGGTGAGCCACGCGTGCACCACCAGGCCCCTGCGGCACAGGGTCTCCACGATGAGGCACGCCACAGGCCACGGGGGCGGCAGCCGCGATCGAGGCGGCGCCAGGCGAGACCAGCCCTTGGCTGCCCGCGCCGCCCGCGGCAGGCGCCCCTGGCGCGGCCCGAGGTCCGAGCGCGCGAAGGCGAGGGCCGCCATCAGCTTCCACGCGTCGCTGCTCTCGCCCCCGTCCAGGAACTCCTCGTGGAAGAACAGCGCCAGCGCCTTGTCCACCTCTGCCGGCGTCGCCAGCGAATGCCCCCGCTGGCAGGCCCACAGGCTGAAGGCGGCCTGTCGACGCTGGTAGTCTGCCCTGGTCGCGTCCCCCACCGACTGCTCCTCCAGGAAGGTCAAGCCCCGGCGGGGGGCCGAAGCCGGGAGGGAAGGGAAGCGGCTCGCCCTCTCCTGCCGACGGACTGCCCGGCGATCGCTCTCGGCCGGGCGCGCTGAAGCCCCCGGCGCCGCACGCGGCCTGCGCTGCAACTGGTGAGTACCCGCAACACCCAGGGCCGCTGCCGGCCTCTTGCGAGCCCGCGTCGCCGGCACAGCAGGGGCCGCCATGAAGCCGAGGGCCGACATCGACAGTGGCGCCGCCATCCTCCCGAGGCCCACTGCCTGGGCGGGCGGGCAGGACGCGTCGAGCCTCGACGTCTTGGCCCGCACGGCTTCGGGGATGTCACCAGTCTGGTCACGAGAAGCTGGATCTGCGCTGTTATGTTCTGATGGGACCCAACGCCAGATAGGTGAGGACCCCGAAGCCAACAGAAGAGCACATGCTTGACGACAGATTTTCAGTAGCGGAGGCGACGATGATCTGCCCTTGAGAAGGGCCAACACTGGGGCCATGGAGTCATTCAAGATGATGTGCGTGGTGTTGACGTTTCGAGCGGCTCGCAATCGATGTTTCAGGCGCAAGACTAACGCTCTCCCCTCCAGTACCACCTGAGCCTCCCTCCTGGTCCATGGTGTAGATAGAACGCGATGCCATCCTCCCGCCCAAACCTCCTCTGGCACCTCCTCGAACGTGACCTCCTCCTCCTGATTCGGCTTCGGCTCGACTCGGAACGGGACCTGCTGCTCCATAACTGCTGCTATGACTGCTGGATCGCGACTGGGTTCCGACGAGGCTTGCTTGATGCATGGCGAGGTGATACGCTCAGCTTGCTTGCGCTCCAGGGCTAGGGCCTTGTCCCGAGGGGCGACCTGTTGCTCGCCATCACGACTGAACCTCCATCGCTCGTTGAAGATAGACAGACGTCGAGCTTGATCCGAGGTGATGGTACTCTCTGTCACTCCTGCGCCCCACCACGAGGCGTCCACGCAAGACACGACAGGCGACAGAGGCCGCCCGGCGTCTCGGAAGCACAGGGGCAGCAGCGCGCGGCACCAGGTCAGCTCCCGCCTCGCTGCCGGAGTCAGCCGCCGCCTCTCGCGGCCGCCGTCGCCCATGAAGCCGTGCACGGCCCCTAGGCAGCTCAGCAACTCTCGGCGAATTAACGCCCTCGACGTGAAGTGCGATATCACCTTCATCATGGTGTGACCGCTGCACCAGCCACGTTCCAGCAGCTCGCCAATGCCAAGGCGAAGCCGCCAGCGCAGCCGAACGCTGAAACCGATCACGGGCTTGTCCTCGTCGAAGTGCCAGCCCAGCGTGTCGCCGCCGACTGATGCGTCCACGGGGTGCGAGGGAAGGTCTGAAGCCGTCAGCTCCCTCTGCACTGCAGTAGCTGCATCGCGCACCTCGCGCAGCCTGTGGGACAGGGCGATGAAGTTGTCGACGTAGACCGTATGCGCCATCCATTGCTGCAGGTCAGGCGCGGGCCGACGGTCCACAAGTCGACGGCCAAAATGGCCAGGAAGAGCACGAGCGGTCACCGCCTCGTTCAAGCTCTGACATATCCATAGGCTGATGCTCCAGCCCATCGGCGGGCACCGGAAGCACGGTGCCACCCAGGCCGATGGTCGCACGGGCGTGCCGTCGGACAAGTGCGTTAGCCCGAGGTCGCCAGCCCTCAACTTGGGCAGCCCAAAGTAGCGGCGCAGCCACTGCGGAAGCTCGATATGGTAAAACGCGTCGCAGATGTCGACGCCCCCGATGCTGATGGGCTCGTCGCCGTCGACCGAGACCTGAGCGAAAGCCGAGCCCGTCGCCAACTCCACGGGGTCCGCGGGCGCAAACCTGAGCGATGCGTGCCTCCCGTCGAGGATCATCCGCAGCGACCCGTTCTTCTTGCGCACGAAGAACATGCCAACGTAACACTCCGCCGAGCTGCTGAAGTCCACCAGCCCAGCGTTCATAAGCCGCCGCGCCACCGTCGCGTAGAGGCGCGGGTTGCGAAGGGCAGGGTCCGTGTAGAGTCGTCTCGGACCTGCCTCCTTGATGCGCTCCATCCCCAGCTGTCGGGGCAGGAGTAACTCTTTCAGCCGGTGAGCGATGTTCTGGCCTGCCATCTCGTCGATAGTCTCCAGGGCGACGGGTTGGCTGCCAGCAGGAGGCAATGAGATGGAGTCGACGAGGTCGAAGCTCACCGGGGCAACCAACGTGGCGTCACCCTCGTGTGATTGAGATATCCGGAGCTCCTCGAGGGCTCCTGGACCGTCCAAGTCCTCTGGGCACGGGCCAAACCTCACAGCGGCCTGGCGGAGCTCCGAGAGGACGAGGGCGTGGCCGGCGGCTGGCACCGGCGTGCCTGCGGGCGCTTGACGGCGCGCCGCAGGCGGGCAGCCCCACAGTTCGTTCAGCGCGACGGTCATCTCCTCGACCATGCCGTGAACGTGCGACCGCTTCTCAAGGCGCCTGCGCACTGACCTCGAAGGCGGGGAAGACGTAGTAGGAGAAGAAGCTCCATCGCCAAAGTAAGGTAAAGGAAAGAGATCACGTTGGCGAAGGTCGGCGCTGGAGTGGGAAGCCTCATGTACAGGTAGATCTGCTGCACCCGCGAGGCCCACGGGCGCCCCCCCTCTCTCGGCCTGGCTGACTCTCGGGCGAGGGGTGCCCGAGAGCCGTCCGCGTCGCTCATGATGACAGAGCGCGACGCTCTTCACGGGCTTTGATCTGCTTCAGGATCCCCGCGTCGCGCTCCACCTGTTTGGAGACATGCTCCAGCAGCAGCGGGCATATCATGGAACGGCCATCCTCCTTGGCCGCCCCTGTGAACACCGCCGCCTCGTCCACGATGCCGAATCGGTGGGGCCCTCCTCCCCGACCTCGGCCCCTCTTCTTGCCGTCGCCCTCGTTGCCGTCCTTGGAGCCCTTCGACTGCTGCGCCTCGAGCTCCATGGAGTAGATGTACTCGTACAGCTGTGCCTGGCCAGCTCCGCCCCGACCAAGTCGGGGACATTCAACTGATCCCAGCACCCGAGATGTTCGATCATCTTCATTATGTTCTCATAATGAGCGACCCCGTAATCCTCCTTCGTGAGATGATAGAAGGCAACGAAGCTGTTGTAGTGCTCCACGGGGCCGCTCCGCTTCCTGTCGATGAATTGCGCGCACCAGAGCATGGTCCGAGGTCCGTCGAGCAGCCACCCCGGGATGGGATTCTCTACCATCATCGGCACAGCCTCACGCCAAGCCAGTCGCTGCCTGGAGCCGTCGGGTCGAGGTGGTACGCCCAGCAGCCTGATGTCCGCCCCGCTCTCCGCGCATCGGTACACCGATGGGTCCATCGAGATCCGACGGATGGCAACCCAGCCTGCGTTCAGCTTCAGGAGGCCGATGTCACCTTCGATCCGCTCGGTCCCGTTGAGCTGGACAACATCGCCACGACTGCCACCACCCGTGCTCTCGATGAACACCCACACTGGGGCCAGCACAGCGGGCGGCCCAACCACCCCTGCCGCGGCCGGCGGCGCTGCGCCGGCGGCGCCCGCTGGGGCGCCTGCGGCCGGCACGGCGGCGGCCGCCAGGGGACCTGCAGCAGGGGCGGCGACGGCGCCGGCCCCGGCCACGCTCACCAGAGGCGCGGCAGGCGCTGCTCCGGCGGCGGCTCCAGCCGCGGGCGCGTGAGCGGCGGGGCCTGCGCCAGGAACGCCTGGTCCAGGGGCGGCTGCGGTGAAATCGAACTCCAGGTATGAGCCACCAGCGGGAAGCGTGCGCGGCCTGCCAGCAGCGCGCTCGCGGTCCAAGTACAGCTGGTCGGCTACCTGCACGAGAGCGTCCTGGATAGCGACCGTCTCCCTCGCGTTCGGCTCACGCCTGAACCTGTGCAGCAGATTCGGGTCCACACCCTGCAGCGCCTGGCGCGTCGGGCTGAAGACCACGGCGACTATGTCTGGGTTCCCCTGACCGTACCGCTCCTCGTACACGTCGTGGTCGGCGCTCGAGATCAGCAGGTCCATCGGATCACTGCTCCCCGCTGCTGGACTCGCCAATCTGCCCCAGACTCTCCGTTGATGCCAGAGCCGCTCTCCTCGATACAGCACCCAGGCCCAGCGCAGGACGCCGCCCGGCGGCGGCACCGTGGCGGCCATGGCGACGGCACACGAGGCCCTTCACGAGCCCGAGCGCGGCCCGCCAGCACTGGAGCGAGGCCAGCACGACGTGGCCCAGCAGCAGCGCCGCCCAGCTCCAGTCCGAGCTCGGAGACGGCTCTGCCGGCACCGGCGTCGGCTCGGGCGCCGGTGGTGCCTGGGGCGCCGCCGGCGGCGAAGGCGGCGCAGGAGGCGCCGCCGGGCAAGTCAGCTGCCCCTCGGTCGCTCGGCAATGGACCTCCCCGCGCGAGAGGTTGGGGCACGACACCGACGGGCACGCCGGCGAAGAAGGACAAGTAGGCGCCGCAGGACACGGCGGCGCTCGCGATATCCAGGCCGCCAGCAGGTTGGTAGCTGCGCCCAGGAGCCACACGAAGGGTCTGCCAACCATCCGCGTTTCTGCCTGGACAGGTGCCCCCAGCTCGCTGGAAGAAAGGCTTGAGCAAAAGTGACAGCGGCCCTCTCCCGCTCTCCACCACGCAACAAAGAATCTATGGCACGCCATTGCAATTAACTAGACACTAAGCGGCTTGCGCGATGGCCAACACCAGTGCCACGCGGTATTTTTGACTTGCCAGTGCATGCATGTTGACGAGCAAATCGTCGCCAGAGTTTCCGACGTATGGAAATAACAACGAAATCGTTCGTCTCGTAATTTCCTCTGTCATCGAAGATAGCGCTTCGCTTTTGCGCCGTCCCCGGGCGCCTGGCTTGACTGACTGACTTCATTCATAGTATGCCCTTGGCTACGTTTGCAAACATACACATACCAATCGTCATGCTGAAACATGTTGCCGAAATTTACAAGAGCGCGCCGAGGTAGGACATCGCAATTCGCACATCATTTGCGAAGCCTTGATACTGTGAGTTTCTTGATCCCAATGAGATTCACGCGCACTGGACGAGAACGAAATACGTGCAAACGTTCTGCGTACTCAAGAAATCGTCAAAATGCACATGAAATATCTTGCTGACCTCTACGGGCCTGGCCCCAGGGACCGCTGCTACCTTAGCAGAGCCCCAGGATGAAAATATCGCTCCCTGCCGGCTCGACCCTGGGCCTCGCAGGCGCGCGGTGCGAACGTTTTCGTGTCCTCCTGGATGATGAAGCCGTGCGGGGTCGATTGGTACGATTTGTGGAGGCCTTTGCACGAGCAGACGTCCCCACTAGTGTGGCGGCGACGTTGCGGCTGGGGCGGATGATGATCGAGGCGGGGGCCGTCACGCGACGACTGGTCTGCAAAGCCGTGGCCAAACAATACAACCAAGCCTTGATGACAACAACACTTCCGTTTCAATTGGCGTTGCAGACACGTGCAGGCACAGAGGCCTTGGCGCACGTACTGCAATATGTGGCGGACCGAGACCCTGAAGCAATCATCGTCCGTTTTGGATGGTATCGGGGCATTTGGCCATTTAAAGCGGGCTGCGTTTCCCAAGAAATCGCAAGGCCCTTCCATGCAACACTTAGTGCCATTGGTCCAGATGCTGTACACTACGGAATCGAGACACTTCTGGACAGACGACAAGGGCGACACACATACCATTACAAAGGGGGAGAGAGGAGAACATGGGTGTCTTTTAATGCCGGCGCTGTACGCCCTGGCGCAACACGACAGTCTCGAAGCAGCAGCGTGGAAGCTCCTGCCTTGGAGCGGTCCTTGGTTTTTTGGCGAATTATATGTTATTGCGACGAAGGCCTGGGCTGCCACAACCTTCCGCACGGTGGCTGAGGCTCTGAGGAGGTGGAGACCCACGCGGGTGTTCGTTCACATCAGGGCAAACTGAGGATGTGGTGTCCGGGCGGCGGTGACGCCCCTCTCGAGGTAGCCACCTTGGGACCAAACGTATGGACCGCATCCAACCCAGCAGTCACTAACGGATTGGTCGTACTCGGGCCGCCTGTGGCCACCACGGAATTTATCACTGCCCATGCCAGGAAACGACTACAACAAAAGAAACGGCTCTCACAGCAAATCACCCGCCCCAGTGACCCCCAAAATGCGTGGACAAGGCTTTCTCAGTCTGCTGTCCCACGGGGGAACCACACAACGAGGATCCTAGCGCCTACAGCGTCCCATGTCTATGCAGATGCGCACGACGACGCTATTTGCGATACATTATGCGACATATTTGGGACACAAGCCTTATACAACGACAAGCGTGCACGGAGGATGGCTTCTCTGCCGGGTCGACTGGGCAGTTTGGGCCTCCGGCCAGTCAGCTACACGATCTGCGCCAGGGGCCTTCTGGGCATCATGGGTAGATGCGCCCCCCCGTGATTGCAGACAGAACGCAGGCCATCGGCACCGACATGGCACGTGAACTGCAAGTACTGGGGGGACCTACAGCGCAAATGTTACGGGACCTAGAAAATTGTGCATGGTAGCTGGGGCAAATCGGCGTCGACCGCCTTCCGTCTTGGGCGGCTGCTGTGGCAGGAGCGGCCCCGCCGGCTCCAAGCGACGAGATTGATTCGGCGGATTTCGATCGAGGGTGGCAGTGCTACGTGTACTTCTTCTTAGAACACTATTTCCTGAACCACCTATTTCTCCCTACCTGCGACGACGCCCGCAAAACAATGTCTGTTGCCACAATCTGGAGGGCCGGCCAGCGCGTGGCTAAGAGCCATACCGTCGGATTCTATATTTCTTATGACGCCTCTGCGGTTCCAAGTGGCTATTTGGAGGCGGTTGCGAAGGGGCCTCAGAACAGGATTCGGCGTGGAGTGGGGAGACCAAAGTCGCGTCGATCGCCAGGGGGACGCCCTGGTGCACCGGGAAACCTGTAGCGACTATCTCGATTACACGCCCGTCTCCTGGGTCGATAGTAGAGACAGCGGTGTCGCGGAGAGCCACTTTATCCCAGATCCTGGCTCCTGTTTCCCGTAGAATGCGTTTCCAAATTCTTTCTAAGGGGACTGATCGAGATTTCAGCCTACCGCTCCGAGAACACGCAGCTGCGTGGTCGCCATTCGTATCCAACGTAGTATTGCATGACCTGCTGCACTGGACGGAAAGGATGAACTTGAACCGTTGGCTACCAATGTGTGGCTTGATGGGTAAGGTCGTGGCCTCTCCCCTCCTCCTCCTCCTCCTCCTCCTCCTCCTCCTCCTCTTCCTTTGGACTTGCTTAGCCTGCCGTTTTGGCTTTGCAAATGTGACGCTTCACCCCGACTTGAATCGTCTCCGATGCTGCTGCGGAAAAAAACGAAAGAGCATCAAAGACGGGGGGCCACGTCACGGAGGTTTGGATTGGGGTGGGGAAGAAGCTGATGATCGGAGGTAATTGGAGGCTTGGTGGGCGGGCAAACCGACCATGTGTTGTCATCGAGACAACCTCACCAATATGATTGATTGCTGCACATGCAGGGAAGTTGCACTGAATACGCAAGACGTCCTTGCTTTTGCATATGCTTTGATAGAATTAAGATGGAGCCGCACCGCCGAACTTTACATATTATAGTATGAACTCACTGAAAGAACGCACGACAACAAAAAACAACGTGCAAAACAACTGCACTTTATACCGTGTAAGAATTCCTGGATACATGAGCATGGACACCAGTTATATACTATCGTATTCTGGAGAAGCCAAAGACATGCGGTAACCAACGCATTGGCGGCAATTGCCGATTCCGACACTCTTGATTGGCTATTCCGTCGTCGCAAATTGCCAATTGCGTCGTTGCGTTGCGGGCTGCCGATTCCGTCGTCGCGGGCTGCCGACGGACGACCCAAGACGACCCACAGCGACTGGCGACGGATGACGGAGGAAATGAAGCGTGTTCTCCGCACCGCCTTCAGGCGTTGCAGAAAACAGGGCGGGTCAACGTGCACCTGTCGTGCGCCTCTTTTGGGTCTCATGGAGCCCCTTTAGGGCACAACAAGTGCACCTTTCTTCACTCCCCCACTGCATCGCCCCCCCCCACTACGCAACGCCCAATTGAGGCGTGTCCCCAGCACCGCTGGCCACACCACTCCCCTCCGCGCGCGCGCGCGGGCCTGGGCTTGCCGCTTTCCCGCCAAAGGCCCAGCCCGCCCCCCCCCCCCGTCGCTCGAGGCGGGGCGGCCCTCCAAGAGGAAGGAGGCCGTCGAAGGTGACCCTGGGTTGGGCGCTGCTTACTGGGGGGGCGGGAAACTGGGGGAAGGGGGACGTCACCTTTCGTGCTCCTTTTCGGCCCCAGGGGGCTCCCGTCAGGGCCAGGGGGCCCCGTCAGGGCTCCTTTAGGCCACAGAAGAAGGGCCTTTCTGCACCCCCACTGTATCGCCCCCCATTACGCCACGCCCGACGGGGCCAATGTGAAGCTTTTCCAGGGAAGCCCAGACGACCTCGATAGCACCCCTGACGAGGCCCAGAGGGCCCCGGGGTTCCAAAGCGGCGCGGAAAAGGGGAGGCACCTTAGGCCAGGTTCACCTCTGGTAACCTCCGACTCGGACCTTCAATGTCGTCAACAAGCCTGGGCGGGCGGATATCTTGCGCGATTTCCGGCGCCGAGGAGCTGTTTGCGGGCTCCGAGGCCAGGTTCTCACGCGCTCGCGAGCTCGTACCTGTCGGGGATGGCTGGCCGAGCCGACAGCCCCCGTGCTCACTTCGTCCATTCTCTGCCCCCTCCCGCACCTCTCTTGATCCCTGCGTCCGGCTCCTGGCGTGTCGACGTCGATGTAAGCCTCTGACACCGCGCACGCCTTTTAACCTTGAACGATCTCGGCATCCGACAGCGCAAATGTCTGCAGATTTGCGTGGCTCAAATCTTCGGTGACTAGCAACCTCTGCCGCGACAACACGGCGCGAAACTGCCGTACATCCTCCCACCGTCCTCTGCCTCAAATGGGCCTTCCTTAGGGCCAATGTTTCCGTTCCTGTGCCCCTGCAGGCAGGTAGCTGGTTAAACCCATATATATATATATATATCTCTCTCTCTCTCAATTTCTCTCTCTCTCTCTCTATCTCTATGTTTTTTTTGTTCTCTCTCTCTCTCTCTATCCCTCTCTCCCTATCCCACGCACACACACACACACTCTCTCTAGATGTACTATTTCTCCAACAACTTGTGAACGAGCATTCGGAACAGATCAGAGTGACACTCTTCGGCGCGATGTCCTGGCATTCAATAAAGCGGTGAGAGAAACCGAATCCCTTGTGGGACGTGTCGCAGCCGACAGAAGATATGCAGGCGTCCCAGCCTGAGACCACCTCATGCCTGTCAAACCCAGGGGGTTCAGCTAGGGCACTTGATCTCGGATAGGTTCTGCTCCCCGATCTGGCGGGGCAGCGCTTGGCGAGTAAGGGAAGACATAAAATCATAATGATGGGTTTATGAGGACGACGAGGAAGAATAAGAGGAGCAGGATGACACGAGTCAGGAGGAGGATCTGGGTCAGGAGGAAGAAGAGGAGGATTAGGAACAGGATGAATAGAGAAAGGGAGAGGCCCTGGGCGAGAAGGAGGTCGATGATAATCTGGATCAGCGACAGCAGGACCATGAGAAGGACGAGACAGGTGAGGGGGAAGATGAAGAGAGAGAGGGCGACGACTGGACAACCAAAGAGGACGAGACCGATGTGAAGGAGGAGGATGGCCTGCCTCCAGAGCACTGTGCGCGACACACACACACACACACACCTTGCCACCTTAATTGAGGTGATGCTCTGCTCACGCGATCGGCTCGCGCCCCCGCTCGGGGGCCCTGGTCCTTCGCCACCCCCTACAGTGGAGGCCCGTCCACGAGAAACCTTCCACAAGAAACTCAACCCTGAGACCCCAGGACGTCCCTTGATTTTCGGCGAGGGAACGTCGCGCCTTCCATGGCAAATCCATCGAAACCCAAGAACCCCAGGGCACCCTGGAGGCGAGCTCGGCATGGGCCTCCACTGTACACCCTGCCACCTAGCCTCAGGTGATGCTCTGCTCACGCGACTGGCTCGCGCCCCCGCTGGGGGGCCCTGATCCTTCGCCGCCCCCCAACTCGTAGACCTGGGCCCGGCGCCCTCTCTCTCTCTGCCGTGAGGGAGCGGGGCCCTGAGGGCAACGGGCCTTCGACCCTGAGACGCCCCCATGGACGGGCCCTCCCTCCCGAGCCGCTGCTTGACGGCCTCGGCGCCCAGGGAAGGGCCACGAGACGCCGAGCGCGGCGAGACAACCCTGGGCGCCTCTCCCCCCCGCACCGCTCTTCGCCACGGCTATCTTGGGAGACAGGCAGCCCCGGGTCGTCACCCTGGCCAGCCAGGGCCATGTCGCGAACCCAGGCCCGCCAGGAGGTAGCTCCGAAACCTGCGTCAGAGAAGGGAGGACAAGGGAGGGCGGCTCCGCGTGGCTCCCAGACCTTGGCCAGCCAGAGTGGGTCGACGACTGGCTGACCACCAGACCAATCTTGGATTACGTTCCGACTAGAATTTCAAGGGGACTCCAGCTGTTGCGACGATGGCGCACCAGGAAACACTAAACGACTGCAAGACGTCCAAAGACCTCGGCTCTCAATCCGCCTATATAGGTCGCCTACTGGGAATTTCGAAGGGAATCCAGCCGTGGCGACGAGACGCCCCCGAAGGTGCGAAAATCCCCCCGTGTGTTTCCTCGATCTCTTCTTCCATGGCTGCGAGGAGGGAGAGGGCAGAGGAGAATGGACACAATGTGCCATCCACGTGAGAACGGATGAAGTGGAGCAGGAGGGCCAGGTAGGAGGGTGGAAGAGGGAGAAGGCTTGCCCTCTTCCCCCTCCCTTGCATGTGCGTGGCAGGGGGGGGGATGTAGAAGGAAGGGAAGAGAGAGCGAGAGAGAGATATAGGATATATGCAAGCTAGGCACATTCGCGCCAACTCTGGCCTCCTCTGGCCTCCTCCTCCTCCTCCTCCTCCTCCTCCTCCTCCTCCCACCCATCACTCTAAACTGCGCTGAATTCTTCTGTATCCGTTGGGTGTGCCAGGATCCTCCGGCTCCCCCTGTTCGGACCCCATCTGGGAGGCCCAGAGAAATGGAGACGGCCACTCGGACGGGTGGTGAGGGGGTTGACCTAGATGGGGGGGGCAGAAGAAAGGGGCCCCGCAGGGCTCCTGCTGGCTCCAATAGGGGCCCTGAAGGGCTTCCACCCATTACCACCCACTACCACCCGCCCGACCCACCCCCCGGCAATCACTCCGGCGGCAGAGGGAGCGCCCCGAGGCCTGCCGCCCCCCCCCCCGCCAAGCGCTGCCTCGCCCGCGGTCCGCAGCGCGGCGTCGTCGGCTCCCGCCTGCACCCCCCCGCGCGCGCAGAATGGGAGGGGCCTCCGCTGGGACGAGCGCGCGAGCACCGGGGGGCAGCGGCTGCCAGTCGGGCACACGCTGCAGGGGGAGGAGGGGGGAGGGGAAGGGGGAGGATGGGGGGAGGGGGAGGGGGGGAGGAAGGGGGAGGGGGAGGAAGGGGGAGGGGGGGGGGGGGGGGGATGGGGGAGGGGGAGGATGAGGGAGGAAGAGGGGGAGGAGGGGGGAGGATCAAGGATCCGTGGGTCTGGCGCGTGGGCGCCAAATCCACGGATCAGGGAAAAGATCCCGGGACATATCAGGTCATTGCAACCTCACTTGGCGACGGAGCGCGCTGGGACCCGTCGCCAGACCACGCGCCATGATCCACGTCGATCCTTCGAGCCAACGGGGTCGATCTGGAAGAGGTCGGATACATCTGGCCTCTCTCCCCCGCGCAGACCTGGAAATTGGCACCGGCAGCATCACCCAGGAGGGGGATTGCCTCCACTGGGGGAGGATGACCTCTCGGCCACCTAAGAAGCCGAACATTGCCACCATTGCCGAGATCGGGATCATCCTTCCCTGGTGGAAGCAGCCGCCGATAATTGGCATGAAGGACGCGGGTCCTGGACCACGGGGCCTTCTCCCAGGACCAGCTCTTCGTCCTGTCTCGCGCTCTGACTGCCCCAGTGGCCCAGGGAGGGTCCCGGGAGGCCCACAGCGGCGAGAACCCTCGGGGCCCGCGCCCCTCGTGGCGAAGCGCTGCTGCTGGTGCCAACCTTGGGGCCTCCGACGACCGTGGGCTCCCCCGCCGCTCGCCGCTCCGGGATCAGCGAGGGCCGAAGATCGGGGCGGCCCGCTGGCCGCCGCCCGGAGGGCCCGCCCAGGGCGGGCCTCGAGGCCTCGGGGGATCGAGCGGGGAGGGATCGAGGCGCGAGGATCCCGAGCCACCTGCCCCGTGCGCCTGGGCGGCTCCGCCGAGAGGACCTCGGTCGAGGACTTCGGTCGAGGAGGAAAGAGGGTCGAGGCCACAGGAAGGCACGAGTGCCCAAACACAAGCTGTTGAAACGCGGTGCGGGCCTCTTGGACCAAGGAGCGCGCCAGGGGCAGCGCCGGAAGCGCCGCCAGAGGGCCCAGCGCAGATCCAAAATCTCCGCGCGGACTTCCGATAATTTTATTACCTAAAAGCGAAAACTGATAGGTTTCTAATGGGCTCAAAAGAGAGCATCTTGACTCCCCAGGGGGGTCTGGGCGGGTGCTGGGAGAAGCCGGGGAACCCGGGGACTCCCCAGGACTCCTGTAGATTCCTTCAGTTTCCTATGGATTCCTACTCTTCGTGTTCCCAGAACACTATTCCCAGGCAACATTTTGAATGCCCAGACCCAACTGTAGGCCACTTCGTGTTCTTCGTCTTCCCAGAGCACCATTCCCAGGCCACATTTTGAATGCCCGGAGCCATCTGTAGGCCACTTCGTGATCTTCGTGTTCCCAGAACACCATTCCCAAGCAACATTTTGAATACCTGGAGCCAACTGTAGGCCACTTCGTGTTGTTCCCAGAACGCCATTCCCAGGCCACATTTTGAATGCCCGGAGCCAACTGTAGGCCACTTCGTGTTCTTCGTGTTCCCAGAACCCCATTCCTGTACCATATTTTGATTGCCTGGAGCCAACTGTGGGCCACTTCGTGATCTTCGTGTTCCCAGAACACCAATCCTGTGCCATATTTTGAATGCCCGAGCTGAGGCAGGCTGAGGCCGAGGCAGGCTGAGGCCGAGGCAGGCTGAGGCTGAGGCTGAGGCAAGCCGAGGCAGGCTGAGGCTGAGGCTGAGGCAGGCTGAGGCTGAGGCAGCTGAGGCTGAGGCTGAGGCAGGCTGACGCTGAGGCAGGCTGAGGCTGAGGCCGACGCACGCTGAGGCCGAGGCAGGCTGAGGCTGAGGCTGAGGCAGGCTGAGGCTGAGGCAGGCTGAGACTGAGGCTGAGGCAGGCTGAGGCTGAGGCTGAGGCTGATGCAGGCTGAGGCTGAGGCTGAGGCTGAGGCAGGCTGAGGCTGAGGCGAGGCTGAGGCTGAGGCTGAGGCAAGCCGAGGCTGAGGCTGAGGCTGAGGCAGGCTGAGGCTGAGGCTGAGGCTGAGGCTGAGGCTGAGGCTGAGGCCGAGGCAGGCTGAGGCTGAGGCCGAAGCAAGCCGAGGCAGGCTGAGGCTGAGGCTGAGGCTGATGCTGAGGCAGGCTGAGGCTGAGACAGGCTGAGGCTGAGGCAGGCTGAGGCTGAGGCAGGCTGAGGCTGAGGCCGAGGCAGGCTGAGGCCGAGACAGGCTGAGGCTGAGACTGAGGCTGAGGCTGAGGATGAGGCCGAGGCAGGCCGAAGCTGAGACAAGGTGAGGCTGAATGGGGGGGAAGGGAGGGGGGAGGAGGGGAGGCTGAGGCAGGCTGAGGCCTGAGGCAGGCTGAGGCCGAGGCTGAGGCTGAGGCTGAGGCTGAGGCAAGCCGAGGCAGGCTGAGGCTGAGGCTGAGGCTGACGCAGGCTGAGGCCTGAGGCTGAGGCTGAGGCTGAGGCTGAGGCTGAGGCTGGCAGGCTGAGGCTGAGGTTGAGGCAAGCCGAGGCAGGCTGAGGCTGAGGCTGAAACTGAGGCAAGCTGAGGCATCCGTAGGAATCCAGAGGAATCCTTCGGAAAACCTAGGAATCCTTAGGAATCCGTAGGCATCCTTAGGAATCCGTAGGCATAGTTAAGCATCCTCAGGAATCCTTAGGAATCCTGAGGATTCCTCCAGAATCCTTAGGAATCCTTAGGAATCCCTCGGAATCAGGATTCCAAAGGATTCCGAAGGTTTCCTAAGGATTCCTATGGATTCCTAAGGATGCCTAAGGATGCCTTAGGAATCCCTAGGAATTTTTAGGATTCCATTGGATCCTACGGCCGTTGCCACTGCGACTGTCATTGCGAATGCGACTGCGACTGCGAGAACAGCATAATTCTACAACTGGATTCTCACCTGAATCTTAAGGGGAATGCTTCCAAATATGCTTATAATACACATCGCTGTTAGGTTGCTTTGCTTGGAATCGATGTATAAAACATGTTCGTCTTCAAGGGCCAAAGACCAAACGCCCCCATAATCGTATCGATAAGCCGGATCGGGTCGACCGGAGCATCGAATCGGCAGAATTCGGAAGTCGGCTGCCAAATCGAAATCGGCAAAAGTCGGCAGGGCCGAGTCCGATCGAATCGGAAACCAGCTGAACGGACGCCTGATCGGAATCGTAATCGGCAGGCACAATCTGCGCGTCCTCTGGTGGGACTCGTCACTGAAATCCTCGGACGTCGATCGTCGTCCAACGTCGTCGCAATCGTAATCGTGGGTCGTCGAAGGTCGCCCGACGCCGTCGAAGCTTGACTGACCTGGGGATCCGCACTGCAAGCCCCCCCCGGGGGGGGGATTCGCCAAACCCCCCCGGGGGGGGTTTGGGGTCCGCCAAACCTCCCCTCCCCAAACCCCCTCCCTGCAAGGGGGAGCTGGGGAAACCCGACCCCCTCCCCGGGGGGGGTTCGCACGGGGGGGTTTCGCCAACCCCCCCTGGGGGGGGTTCGCACAGCCGGACCCGTTTGGCGACCCCCCCCAAGAGATGGTCAGCAAGCCCCTCGGGGGCCCGTCCGGGGCCCCTTGGGGGGCCCTCCGGGGGCGGGGTGTGGACGGCGACGCCTCCTCCCCTCCTCCCTCCTCGGGTGGGATCCCTCCGAGCCGACGTCGCCGCCGGAGGCCGTCGTCGCCGCCGTCGAAGGGGGGGGGTGGGGGACCGCGCCCCGGGCCCGCAGAGTCGGCTTGGCCGACCGCCGCGCCGAGGCAGGGAGGCGAGGGAGGGAGGCGAGGGAGGGAGAGGGAAGGCGACGAAGACTCTGGAGCGAAGCCGAATCGGAAAAAATCGTCAGAAATCGGATCGGCTGCCAAATCGAAATCGGCAAGGATCGGATCGGGCGAACTCGAAATTGGAACCGTGAATCGGAATTTTCGTATCGAGTGGAATCGGATCGGAGCCCTGGGAAATCGAATCGGATTGGCCTGGATGAGTCGGAAAGCGCCCTGAAAAACCTGGGACGGTGTTCGGCGGCTCTCGGGGGGTCTCGGATCCAGATCGTCGTCGTCCTCCTCCGCCGTTCCATACCCCGCAGATGCAGATAGGAGTGAGGGGGCGGTGGGGACGTCGGCAGTCTGCGAGACTCTGGCGAAGCCCGCCGCAGGCGTCAAATATTCACAAATTATAACACGAGCCCGCCGCAGGCGCTGATTTTTTCGTTAAACCAATGTGGGTGGGCCGCGCTAGGGTCGCGGGTGGGTCGTAAATGGGTCGCGGCTGGGTCGCGGGTGGGTCGCGGGTGGGTCGCGGGTGGGTCGCGGAGTGGGTCGCGGGTGGGTCGCCGTTGGGTCGCGGGTGGGTCGCGGGGTGCAAATGGATCGCGGGTGGTCGCGGGTGGGTCGCGAGGTGGGTCGCGGGTGGGTCGCGGGTTGGGTCACGGGTTGGGTCGCGGGTGGGTCGCGGGTTGGGTCGCGGGTGGGTCGCGGGTGGGTCGCGGGTTGGGTCGCGGGTTGGGTCGCGGGTGGGTCGCGGGGTGGGTCGCGGGTGTGTCGCGGGTTGGGTCGCGGGTTGGGTCGCGGGATGGGTCGCGGGTGAGTCGCGGGTGGGACGACGACAATAAACAAACAAACAACAACGCAAAAAACATAATCCTCACCACGGATCCCCACTTCAGCCACGCACCCAGGGACAATGAATGACCGTTCGGCCCCCTCATTCTGACAAATAACTTCTCTCTGTCGCACCCCGAGGCCAGTTCTTAGCGCGGGCCAGGCCACTGATGATTCTGAGGCTTTCACATTGGAAACAATTTCACACATGAAGGGCCGGTCGTTTTCAAAATCTGGCTCTCGCCTCAGCGCCCCGCACATTCGCTGAAAAACATTGCAGCGCCCCGCACATTCGCTGAAAAACATTGCAGGAGTTTCGAAATTTTT